GTGGGTGGGGGGGTTTAAGCCTGATACATATTTCCATGCTTATTGTGTGTGTGCGCGCTATTTTGTTTTTTCTTCAAAGCCCGGCCATTTGAGGACTTCTTGATTCAAAAGATTATAATAGACACCTTCAGAAGGCAAGAGGGAGACGATCAATGGGAGCAGCAATAACAGCAACACCATCGTAACCACATCCAACACCACCTTGCCAACTAACTTTAGCGTTTGGATCATCTCGAGACTAGGGTGACAGAGATACAGAAGACATAGGCACAAATTAGCATAATAAGCTGTGTCAGGTGGAGCTTGAGCATGCGATGTTCGATATATTGAGGCAATTGGTGCTTAGTTAAGGGACAAACATAGAGCAATTCCAGGTCCCCACTTAATAGGCCATTTGGAGATGCACCTGCAAGCAGCATGCAGTGGAACGGATAACTGGCCGGTAGAACATGTTGTTTCTCCAGGGTATGGATAAGTTTTTGTCCTCTTTAATTATGTGGGACTCTTCCAACATTCAATTGCCAAGAATTTAAACTGAAGGAATTCTGTGTAAAATTTGCAGTGTATTGATTGTTTCAGTCATTCTTTTCCTGTAATAACACAATGCTTTAGGAATAACATTAGTCTTCTTTGCACTTTCTGTGTTAGTGTCATTTTTCTTGTGTAGTTGGAAGAGCGGAAAGGTATTCTTCCTTCCTGGCTTTGATTTCTCAGTTTCTACTTCTTCCTTTGATATATAATGGTGGTGGGTAAAAGAATGTTTGTCGATGCAAACAAATTAGTGTGTTTGATGGATATTGATAGTTGATGTTGGCTGCTTTTGCTGCTAGGAGCTTATTTCTTGAGTATTTTTATGACTATGCTTCCATCGACCACCCCCTGAAGCTGGCCTGTAAAGATGTGATCAATTTATCTGTCAATGATTTGTTCTTCATGTAGCTTTGTTCTTAGCCATCATCTGATTCTTGCTTATCTTCTGAAATGCTTGGAGCTTTTAAAGCCATTCCTCTGGTGCTCCTAAATGAGAGTCATCCTAAAGAATGCCAATGCATTTGTTTTTTCCTGTTTTCAACTTCTTTACTTTTTGCTGCTCTTGGGTAATATTTCGAACTTAGCATAACAGAGAGGTTCAGTGAAGAGGAGGGAGTGGGAGAAGAAGGGTGGTGTTGATAAGATTCAGAATGAAGTATGAAAAGGCTTGTATTCAATGTTGACGACTTACATATATACGTATACATCTTTTGAGTGGGAACAAGATACCCATTGTATCAGCTATATTCATAAAAAATATTATGAGAAAGGTAATTCATATCTGATTGAAGATTACAGTAATATATGTTCCTTAGTTAGCTCTATTATGCCCGCAAGTTAGGGGGTGTCTCAACAACACCTAACTTGGTAAGTTGTCGCTGGTGACAAGTCTTGGGCAAAACTCGGTGAGAACATTTGCTATCTGGTCTGCGATGTAGACATGCATGACATGAAGCCAATGTTTTTGCCCTTGTTTACGAGTAAAATAAAAAACAATTGGCAATATGCTTCATGTGGCTGCGAAAGACTCTGTTTTGACATAGGTAAGTGGTACCTATGTTGTCACAGTAGACTGTAGGAGGTGTAAAGAGGGTCACACGAAGTTCAGATAGGAGATCTTGAATCCAATTGGATTCTGCTACCGCCCCAACAACAGCATGATAATTCAGCCTCAGTGGATGATCGTGCAACAGTGTGTTGCTTCTTTGGGGACCAACTGATAGGATTAGATCAGATGAGTAGAAGTAGAGGTTCGATCAGTAACATCACCTGCCCTATCTGCATCAGGGTATACATGATATGTATTAGGAGAGTTACGATGAAGAAGCACGTTGTGAAGCATTGTGTGCTTGAGATATTCGAGGAGACGCTTCGTTGCTTGCCAGTGGATGGTGGAAGGTTTGTTCATGAATTATGAGAGTGTTGAGAGCAACTGATATCGGAGTGTGTAAAGGAGAGCTAGGGAAGCTTTCTGGTGGCTGCACAGTATTGTTTCTGATAACCATCATTGGAGGAGAAGAGAATGGTGTTTTAGCGGCTGAAGTTTGTGTGTCTTCCATGAATTAGCAATGAAGATACAGTAGTTAAGAAAAAAGGATCGAATGGAGTTTACTCTTTTGAGTTTTGGAGGAGCTGTGATTCCATATAAGATTCAAAATAAAGTATGAAAAGGCTTGTATTCAATGTTGACTAATGATGTGTATCTACACAGCTTTTGAGTGGGAACAAGATGCCATAGTATCAGCTATATTCATGAAGAATGCTATGGTCTTTTCTAACAAGCAGCAGGATGCTATAACTGACTCCATTGAGTCCGTTATGAACAGTCCACCCTTTTCTCGATTATTGCTGATGCAATCATAAAAAGCTAATTTTTCTAGACCAGATAAACTTTGAGAAAACGTAAGGTAATATCTGATTGAAGATTACACTGATATATGTTCCATAATTAGCTCTATCAGGTGTTAGTGAGTGAAAGGAGCTTTTTTGGAAAGACGTATTGGGGAGAAGTGATTAGACAGGACATGGCATGTCTCCAGCTTACCGGGATATAACCCTAGATAGGGAGATATGGAGGTCTAAGATTAGGGTAGAGGGTAATTAGTAGGTCGTCGAGTTTAGGACTCTGTATCTGCTACATTTGCCTCTTTCATTCATCAAAGATTTCTTACTGGGAGCCACAGGATAGACTTATCAACACTTTTTACTGTCTAATAGTAGTGGATATGTCCAATAAGCTTATTGCTGATGCAAATTGTAGCAACTTTTCTTTATGTTCTTCACTATCCACATAAAAATGTTAACCTTAACTTTAAAGTATGTAAATCACCAGAAAGATTCCAGAAAATCTGCTTTATCGGACATCTTTCTCTCATCTGTGTTTTCATTCCAGGTTCTTTTATTATCATTCAAATGGCCCGCTCATCGTATTCGTCAATGTGAGAACATATGCTGTGTTTACCTGAGATTGTTAGTTCAGCTGATTTCCTATTGAGCATGATGGTTAATTAGTTGAATTCTTGGAACTGAGATACGCTGGTGCGCTAGTGTATGCTTGAACACAATTGTTTGATTCCATGCTGCTTTAGACCCTGTATGCATTTTTCTTCTCATGCTTTAATCTGATGCCTACGTTTCCTGAAATGATTGCATGTGGTGCCAAATTCAGTCTGCTATCTATTTGCGCACTCTAAATTTTTTTGCTGCAGTTTGAGTAACAATCCTTCAGAACCATGCTTTCTCAACTCAGTAGATACAATCAGAGAAGAAGTCAGCATCATTGAAGGAGCAACTGGAGTTAAATACGCCACTTGAAGATGATTTAAGAGTTAAGAAAGATGAAAGAGTTAAGCAGTTTGCAGCTATAAAGAAACAAACTGACAAGATAACTAGTGAGGTTTCTGGGTATTCTAATATCATCAATGCCGTGAGGTCTTTGAATCTATTTTGATCACGACTTGTCACCAAGAAAGCTCTCCGAATACAAATCTCATCTTTGTGCTCCGCAAAAGGAGAAGGTTTGCATGGATTGACATGTGTTTAACATGAAACAACCTATCACTTTTACCCATCATAGATGTCGTGCTTTTGATTAGTTGTTGAGTATATTCATTTTAGCAGATTAACTGATAAGTAATTTTTCTGCCTGCAGTCTGAGCGGATCCAAAAAGTTTTGGATTGTGTAAATAGGTGTACTCTTTGTACGGTGTGCTAGGGCTGGTTTTTGAAAAAACTGGGAGTGATGTGCATCCAATTGCATAAAACAAGCCCGAGACAGTCCACTAACATCAGCGAGACCAGCCACACTGAAGACCGAAAGAAAAGTAATATCAGAAGGTATTGTTTACCTTGGTCTTTTCTTAGCGTTTTCTTTATCCTTATTTTAATCTCGTTACTAATGCAGTAGAGAGATGTAGCTGGAATGCTGTTTGTGCTGTGGACTTAGATGGATACTATCTAAACCAAGTGCTCTTGCATTGGTGGTTATTCAACAGGTTTGTGAACATTTACCTATCTTTGTAATTTCATCGCCTAGCTGTCTCGCCTTCTGTCCTCATTATCATTGTTATTGCTTTTGACTGAGTCAAAGTCAATGACAACAAGGTGAATTATTAAGTAAAGTTGCATAGAGCCGTTATGCCTCATAATGCAATTCTAATGAAACAAGCAAAGCAAAGAGTTATTCTGCTTGTGTATTGGATAGATTTCACACAATTGCAACCACTATTCTGTGCCTAAATGTATCCTTATGTTCTCTGTGGCTAATGCATGCAAATAGTGACTTATTGACACGGACAATTTCTCAGGCTGAAAGCCCACTGCAATATACTAGTATTTTGTAGCAGCTTGTTTCATTGTACATTTCAGTCTTCTTGAATTTGAAACTGATCATATTACTCATGAAGACTTCAGCAACAAGAAAATTGATATGTTTGAAGAGACGTCTCTTCTTGTATGTGTTAAATTGCCCGATTTTGATATAGACTTGGATGCTAGTTCGTAGAAAGGCGATGATCAAGTTTGCAGTTTGATGAACTATCTTGTTCCATATTGTATTATTATTCATGCTTTGATGAATTATGTTCTTTCATATAATACTTTCTCCGTTCCCAAAAACATATCCTTGATAGTCCGTTAAAGAAGAATGTCATTTTTCTAAGTCTGGAAAGAGTTTAAACTTCCTGTTTACCATAAGTTCCAAAAATTTTATAGTCGCACAATTTGTAGTAGCATATTTAAGATCACAATTTTCAAAGTCTTCTTCTATTTCTTCCTTATATAAAAAACTTCGTTTCTTTCTTAAATTCCATGTGCAATCAAACTATTAGTATTATTATTTTTTTCCTTTAATTGTGTGCAGTCAAACTATGCCCTATAATGGAAACAAAGGGAGCAGTTAATTACCTTAACTTTTCTTTTTCTCAAAATAAATATACAAACAACATTAGTCATTAAGTTGAAAGTGGATGAGACTTGGATCTTATCTCGATATGGGAATGTCTGTATAAGGTAAAACAACTTTGGCTGGATTAGTGTACAACATTGATCACTTTGATGCTCGAGCATGGCGTTCTCTTTTTCAAACATGTAACATGAGGAAGCTTTTAGTTGAGTTTCTTAAAAAAGCTAATATATATATGGGAGATGCTAAACGACCACACTCTTGTGACCCAACTTTGGCCACACCAGTGAAAAGACATAAATGACCCTCTAACTAATTAGCCTACATTTTTCCCTCCAAAACACAAAATTAAATTCCAAGTCTTGAAGTATGCGAAAATTAAATGTTGGGAGATGAAGAGTCTTGTGTATTATATTTGTATTTTCATTGTATTTATGTATATTTTATGTTTATACAAATTATACGATTTAGTGTGTATACAAATTATTGTATTTTCTTCCTTTCTTAAAAACAAATACGGTATACGATTTATTATACTTTCTTCATATCAAACCAAGTCAAGTGGACATTTTACCCTATCTAAAAAATGGATTCAAACCAAGAAAATTCGGTGGTGCAAGAAAATATGAATCCATTATCTTACTTATATTTATATTTCATAATTAAATTGCTAATTATATCCCAAAATATAACGATTGGTGTCAATTGACTAGTGACCATAGTAAACGTAATTATATGGTCGTTATCAATATACGCATGACCTTAATGAATGAAATTATATGTTGGCTACTATACGCATATATATAAACGTTCAATGTGACTATATATAAAGCGCAACAATGTAATTAACTAGTGTCAATATCTACTTATTATTTATATTTCATAATTAAATTGCTAATTAAATCCCAAAATATAACGATTGGTGTCAATTGACTAGTGGAACCATAGTAAACGTAATTTATGGTCGCTATCAATATCTACTTATTATATATATAGACGTTAAATGTAACTATATAAAAAGCGCAATTATGTAATTAACTAGCATTAATATCTAGACTTATTATTTTAATATTTCATAATTTAAATTGCTAATTATATCCAAAATATAACGATTGGTGTCAATTGACTAGTGGAACCATAGTAAACGTAAATATATGGTCGCTATCAATATACACATGACCTTAATGAATGAAATTATATGTTAGCTACTATACCCCCCCCCCCCCCC